AAATGTCCAATTATCTTATGTTGTAGACAATGTGGTGTGTTAGTAGTCATACAGAAGATTACATTGTCGGTTCCTCATAAGATATAAATGGTATTCACAACTGAGATAGTTATGGACATGACTTCGGTTTAGGTTGTAGTATGAACTGGCTTGTCTTGGCTATTGGTTTATACTAGTGCGCTACGTCGCATTGAAAGGGTCATAGTTGAGACGTGTTCTTCTGTTCTGACATCATGAAGAACCAAGGTCTCGGTGACTCCATTAATACTTAACCCTAACTGTGATACTTAAATATGTAGGGTATTTGTTTGTTACTTTGACTTGCCAAGAGTTAGAACCAAGTATTGGTTCAATATGCTCCGTAATTTGGGTAACGACATTATCTGCATGATATCTATTTATTGGCATTAGGACACCGTGTCCTGGACATCCAGGTTGATGGCGTCCCCTTCAGGAACTCATAAGGATTATCGTATAAACCCTGCAGGTGGATTTAATCCGTACGATAATGAGGTTGAGTGGTACTATTTAAGGAATAAAAGAATTAATTGATTAAAGCAGTCAGAAGCTTTAATACTTAATGGACGTGCGATATCTTAAACACGGGGAATTACATTGATTCTAATAGAAGTCCTGATTCCTTTCGGGATAGGAAGGGAGTGCAATATTAATTCTCTAGTGGAATGAATTAATATTTACAGGTCAAATTGGATTCTGGGCTGAACATAAGAATTTGGGTCTGTAGGGAGCCCAAACCCTATACCTTCTAAGAGATCCCTAGGCTGGCCCAAGGACCTCTATAAAAGGAGGGATTACACGTCTTGAACCCTGCGCATTATCACAGAACGTGACACCTTCAGCCACTATCGTGAGGAGAAAGTGACGTGAAGGGTTCGGAGAAGACGAAACGCAATCCGCTCCTTTCAATCGTTTGGTAGATCGTCGTCCATTCGGCGTCCAAACATGATCGGGACACAGACTAGAAGATCGCTCAGATCGAATCATAGCCTCGAAGAAAGGTACTTCTATGTTCATACTTTAAGAGCATGACTAGGGTATATTCGAAATCATGTATGTACGCGTTTGGCATCCGTTATCGATCTGTGAGATGGACCGCCTCGTCGGCGTGTTCCAGCATTGCCTACGTACCCTTAACATGGGAATCAAAGTCCTCATAGTTCTCTTACTTTACTTACTTTGATGAAATAAGAAGACGGGATGCATTCAATGTTCTAGTAATTGTAGGCCTAGTCGTCTTCTGTTCCGACAGTTCCACTAGTACTAGTAAAATTGGATGCATCATCTTCATCTTCTTCTTGAGTAGTTAGGTTGCGTTTGTGTATGAAAAAACTCAATTCATACTCAAATTTTAACTCAACTTTAACCCAACTCCACTATCCTCAATATCATTAATATAATTAAATAATATCAAAAAATCATTCTTACACATCACATCAATTTTAATTTATTATTCATCAACACACATAATTTTAACTAATCACCTCTTCACACTATATCAGCTTGTCCTTCTGAGAAGGATCCAACCCTGTGATACTGAAAATGGCTTTTGCATCTATGTCTGAGAATATTTACTCCACAAGCCTGTTGTTCCATCTTCTGTCAGAATCCTCCATTAGGTCGTTGACCCATAGTATGTGCGTGTCAGTGTTGCTCTTGGGTTGGGGTTCAAGGCCTGGAATATTTGGTACCCACGGATGATCCCAGACCTTAAGACTCTTGCATCCTTTATAGCATATCTCAGCCCACTTTTGAAGTAATCTCTTTAGCCAACCAGCCCAGAGCCATGAGTAATTCCCTTTCTATTTTGTATTACAGAAGTCATTCTTAGGGAAATACCTAGCCTTGAGGGTTTTTCTGACCAGGAAGTTTGGGTGTGTCAAGAGTCTCCATAGCTGCTTAGTGATTAGAGCCCTATTGAAAGAATGCAGGTCTTGAAATCCTAGGCCTCCCAGTTATTTAGGTAGAGTCAGTTTGTGCCATGCTTTCCTATGTATGTTGTTGACCTTGCTGCTATTTGTATTCCACCAGAAGAGATTTCTAATTTGAACTTGGAGGGGATTAAACTCTATATAGGTAGAAATTTGAGTAGAAATTCTCCTCTAGAAGGATTAACAAATCCATACACCTCACCATTAATATTAAAGGAAAATGAAGCAGATGAAACACATTGCAAAATAAAGTTGAACAAAATTCCATCTTCAGCATGATAAACCTAATTGAGTCCCATTCCACTCTATCAAATGCATTTATCATATCAAGCTTTAAAGCCATATAACATTTATTCCTAGACCTATGAGATTTCATGAAATGAAATATTTCATGAGCTAATATCACATTATCCATTATCTGTCTGTGAGAGACAAATCCAGATTGAAATTCAGAGATGCAATGAGACAGACGAGGTTTGAGTCTCAACGCAAGAATTTTGGAGATAATTTTGTAAATGACATTGCAAAGGTTAATTGGTTTGAATTGGGACATTGAGATTGGGTTGTTACATTTTGGAATGTGCGTAATCAGAGCACGATTAAGACTTTTAAGCAAACTACCAGATGCACAGAAACTAGATACAACTGCACAAACATCATCATAAACAGTGCATCCTTGATTTCTTCATTGGTAACAAGTGTCACTAGAGTTGAGTTGACACCTTTGGAGAAATCACCTCCCTGAAACCACATAGTAACCCATCTCATGTTATTGAACTCTAGATGAGAAGGGATTTGAGTAGAAATTCTCAATGCATTCTGCAATATTCTCTTTGCTCTCCCAGAAGGTACCATCTTCTTTGCTTAGTCTGTGTATATAGTTTCTCTTTCTTCGTTGTGCTGTGTGAGCATGAAAATATCTTGAGTTTTTGTCCCCATTTTTGAGCCATGTGATTCTGGATTTCTGCAACCAATATTGCTCCTTGCAGCTGTAAGCCTCATTGAGTTCTTTCTTCAGTTTCTTCAGCTTATCCGATCTATTCTAATCTCGAAGACCTCATGCAGCATTCATAGCTTTTAGTTTCTTGTTAAGCTCAGCAATCTTCAAGGATTGCCCTTGTTTTCATCTTCGAAGAGAACATAGCTCTCCTAAGGCCGTCGCAGGCGTGACAGAGGCATAGCGCCCGAGCACACTCAGGCGATGTTGGGCGCTGCTGTGCAGTAGCTAGCCTGCTAGGCATGGACAACGGCTAGCGACCACTAGCTGCTGTTTCTGACGGTCCCAAAAGGTTTTCCGACGACGGATTGCTGCAAAATTATCTGGTTAGAATTTTCCTGCAAAATAAAATTTAAAATTAGAAAAAAGAATACAAAAAATATGAAAATAACACAAAACGTGCAAAATCAACCTAATGAACTAAAAAATCTATATATGGGCAGCCAATTTTTCTGTAAATTTATCGGCTCTAATAATAAAAACTAGCAAAACTGAATATGAGTAACTTCTATGGATGTGGTAGCTTGTATGAATGTAGTTATACATAATGGGGCTACAATAAGTAGTATTGGACCAATTCATGTTAAGTTTGATCTTACCGTCGCCATGCTCGTATAAAGTAGTTTTTCATTATTGGAACACACACTCTCTGTTAATGTAGGGGCAAAAAATTCTATTTGGGAACTGCTCGAACAGATGAAGATGAATTCTCCTAGTTTGTAATTTGTCTCGCTCTTCTTTTTTTTTTTTTTTTTTTTTTTTTTTTT